TACCTCCAAGGATCAGGGCACCTTGATTCTTCTGTCCACAGGGAGTCGTCCAGTAAATGGTATGTCCCCTCTGTATAGCATGAAGGGGACATGGCTGCTGCCTGAAGCATGTCCAGTCTAGTGTGGAAGACAGACACATTCATTCACCAAATGTGTTTGGAGCACCTGCTTTGTGCTAGATACTGCTGTAAATTCTAGGTGTGTAGTGGTGACCAAGACAAATGCCATGCTTTTGGGGAACTTTTTATATTTTAATTGTCAAAGAGAGTATGTGAGGGGTGCATGGCGTACTTTGGGTCCACAAGAGAGAATCTGAAACCAAAATCAAGAGGAAGGCACTGGGGTTTGGGGTTTCAGGGAGGAACACTGGGTTTGAATCTCTGCTCAGGCTCTTTCTGACTCTGCCACGTTGGGCAAGTTCTCTATAAATTGGAAATCATAAATACTATCTACCCTTGTAGGGGTGCTAGGAGGATTAAATGATACGAAATGATTTCTCAGTGCCTGGCACACAGTCAGCGTCCAACAAACGTTTACTGTCTATTGAAAAACAAAATACTGGTGTAAAGAGTGTATAAAATCATGTCTGAGAAAGACCTGGCACATCGTTGTCCAGGTTGCCACCTCCTTGTGACCAGAGGTGTATGTTTGTTCTGAATTGACCTCTTCACCTTGCCGTACTGGGCCTCATCGTTGTGCCTAACATCGTTCCGATGTTTATATGTCTGTCTCTCTCTAACCCCACCTGGACCACAGTCCACATTGTCTTCAAATCCCTTGACATAGCAGGGTTGAGGAATGTGTGGAAACCAGATGAATGCTCTGGAGCCAGACCACCTCTGGACCAGTTTACTCCACTTGGTCCTGGCCTCCAGATTGGGCCCCTCACCATGGCCAATGTTTGACAAGGTAGTGCAGGTGGCAAGGAGGCTGCAAGACAGTGAACAACAAAGCACAGACCCAAGTGGTTATGCTCATTGGCTCTGGAAACCAGACCTAAGTTTGCATCCTGTCACTGTCACCTCCTAGGTGTGTGTCTTTGGGTGAGCCACCTAACTTAGCTCCTCTATAGCGTGAGGATGGTATTAACACTCAGGGCTGCAGTGAGGGTAAAATGAAATCACGCGTTTGCTGCTTTTGGCATAGTGCCTGGCCCATGAAAGAAAAGACATTCAGAGAATATTGCTTAAAGGAAACATACAACCCACCCAGAGCTGTCAGACTAGTCTCATCAGGCCTTGCGCAAAAGAGGGAATGTTTTCACCTTCTTCTGGGTGTTGGGCATTAAAGCATCAGCCAGTCTAACCAATGGCCCTGGGTGTGCCTGGGGGAAGAAAATTCTTCTTGGGAGCTGACTTGTCACCTGAGAAGCCCAGTTTTCACGTGGCCCTGGCTGTGCTTCAGTCACAGAGCACGCCCCTTCATACTGAAGGAAAATTAATAGAGGTGGCGATGATCTTCCCTGACAGTGGGGCTTGTTTGACAGATGATAGGATGGGTTTAGGGCTCTGAAACTCAATGCTTTGTGTAAAGGAAGCCTCACTGAGGATGGAGAAAGTTATTTGGCAGCAAATTCCCTGGCAGCTGCGTTATTCGAGATGAGCTAATTGGAATTTTGACTTAGAAAGAAAACAAAGCAGCTCAGAGTCAACAGAGACTCAGCCAGAGCTTAACCATCCTCAGCTCCAGGGTTGGGTCTAATGGTGAGAATTGAACCTTATGAAAACACAGCAGAAAAATAGCAGAACAAAAACCCAAAAGGACTGCCAAGTCTTGTCTATGTGCTGGCCAGTAGGCTAGACACTTTTACATGTGTTGGCTCCAAAAAAAAATCATGATTACACTGAAATTACCAACAAGAAAACTGGTTCAGAGAGGTGAAATAACTTATCCAAGATCACACAGCTAACTGTGTTAAGGGGCCAAGATCTGAATGGCTCTGAAGGATTCCCTCACCGCATTGTCAAGCTCAGAAAATAGACACAGTGACAGCTCTTGATTATCCACAACCTCTCTGTCTTTTTTTAAGTTCTGTTTGCTTTTTTTTTTTTTAAGATTTTATTGGGGAATCAGGGAAGGGGAACAGACAAGTTGCTGTCCTTTTGTTCTTCAGTTTAGTTGTGGAGGAGACTGCTTCACTGGCCCATGTTGGTATTATGATTGTGTTCTTCCCGGATGATGTAGTCGCTTGCAGGCCATTGGATGGCCGCTCACGGCGGCTCATGGTGGCTCATGGCGGCTCATGCCGGCTGCCCACTGCTCACGCTGGTTGCCGGCCACTCACCGTAGCTCACGGCAGCCCACTGCAGCTCCACTGCGGCAAAAGCTGTCACCAGCCACTCACACCAGTTCAGCTCCAGGTCGAGCTGTTGTTCACCATCTTAGCTGTAGAGGGCAGTGTCACTGGCCCATGTGGGAACCTAACCAGCGGCCCTGCTGCTCAGAGCTGGCATCCCAAGCCAATTCTTAACCAACTGAGCCACTCGGCCGGCCCAACCTCTCTTTTTTGTTGTTGTTGTTGTTGTTGTTTTTAGCTGAGCCATCCTGCCACCTGTTGGCAGTTCAGTGGCTGCTCAGCTTGGGCTAGGACTCAAACTGCTGTTGCTCAGAGCTCACACTCTTGAGTGAGCTCTTAACCAACTGAGCCACTCGGCCAGCCCTCTCTTTTTTTTAAAGTGGCAAAATTGCATAAAATTTACCATCTTAACCATTAAAAAAAAATTTTATTGGGGAACAGTGTGTTTTTCCTGGGGCAGCTCACTGGCCCATGTGGGAATTGAACCGGCAACTCTGGTGTTATGGGCACTGTGCTCTAACCAACTGAGCCAACTGGCTGCCCCCATCTTAACCATTTTTTTTAAAGATTTTTTTTAAATTGGGGAATTGGGGGAGGGGAACAGTGTTGGGGAATTGGGGAAGGGGATCAGCCAAATTGTTGTTCTTTAATCTTCGTTGTGGAGGGTGCCTATCACCATCTGGCTGCCCGTCGGCAGCTCGTGGCCTCTAAGCTCAAGGTGCTGTGTTTAATCTTAGTTGTGGGTAGGTGTAGCCACCATCCCATGTGGGAGTCGAACCTGGCAGCCTTGTTGTTAAGAGTGCACGCTCTATCCACTGAGCCATCCGGGCAGCAGCTCAGCTCAAGGTGCTGAGTTCAGTCTTAGTTGCAGATGGGAGTAGCCCACCATTGAACAGGCAATCTTATCGTTAGAAGCAGGTGCTCTCACCAGCTGAGCCATCCTGCCACGTATTGGCAGCTCAGCTCAGGCACAGTGTCACTGGCCCATGTGGGAATCGAACCAGCGGCCCTGTTGCTCAGAGCTCGCTCTCTTTAAGCCAGCTCTTAACCAACTGAGCCACTCGGCCGGCCCCAACCATTTTTAAGTGTATGGTTCAGTGACCTTAAGTACATTCACATTGTTGTGCAGCCATCACCACCATCCATCTCCAGAACTCTTTTCATCTTCTCCAACTGAAATTCCATACTCATTCAATAATAATTCCTCATTCCCCTCTTCTCCCAGCCCCTGGAAACCACCACTCTCCTTTCTGTCTCTATGAACCCGACTACTCTCAGTACCTCATGTAAGTGGAATCATATAGTATTTGCCTTTTTGTGACTGGCTTATTTCACTTGGCACAATGTCCTCAAGGTTCATCTGTGTTGTAGCACGTGTCAAAATTTCCTTACTTTTAAAGGCTGAATAATATTCCATTGTATGTCTACACCACATCTGGTTTATCCATTCGTTTGTTGTTGGACACTTGGGTTGCTACCACCTTTTAGCTATTGTGAATAGTGCTGCTATGAACTTGGGTGTGCAGATATCCATTTGAGACCCTGCTTTTCATTCTTTTGGGTATATGCCAGAAGTGGAATTGGTAGATCATATGGCAAGGTTACTTTTAGTTCTTCTGAAGAATCGCCATACTGTTTCCATAGCATCTGTACCCTTTTATACTCCCACAGTGCACAAGGGTTCCAATTTTTCCACATCCTTGCCAACACTTGTTATTTTCTTTTTTTTAAAGATTTTATTGGGGAATTGGGGAAGGGGAACAGCCAAGTTATCCTTCAGTCTTAGTTGTGGAGGGCACAGCTAGCTCAGCTCCAAGTCCAGTCACCATCCAGCCTCCCGGCGGCAGCTCGCGGCATTTCAGCTCAAGGTGCCGAGTTCAATCTTAGTTGCGGGTGGGCGTTGCCCACCATCCCATGCGGGAGTCGAACTGGAAACCTTGTTGCTAAGAGCGCACACTCTAACCATTGAGCCATCCGGCCGCCCATCAACAGCTCAGGGCAGCTCAGCTCAAGGTGCCTTGTTCAATCTTAGTTGAGGGTGGGCATAGTCCACCATCCCATGCAGGAGTAAACCTGCAACCTTGTTGTTAGGAACACGTGCTCTCACCAGCTGAGCCATCCTGCCACCTGTTGGCAACTCAGCTCAGGTGCAGCTCACTGGCCCGTGTGGGAATCGAACTGGCGACCCTGTTGCTCAGAGCTCGCGCTCTTAACCAACTGAGCTACTTGGTCAGCCCTGTTTTTTTTTGTTTTTTTTTAAATTTATTTTTATTTTTTTATAGTAGCCATCCTAATAGGTATGAGGTGGTATTGTGATTTTGATTTGCATTTCTCTAATGATTTAGAATGTTGAGCACCTTTTCATGTGCTTATTGGCCATTTGTATATATTTAGAGAAAAGTATATTCAAGTTCTTTGCCCATTTTTATTTTTATTTTTTTATTTATTTTTTATCCACTGAAAGTTTATTTCTTTAGGGTTTTATCCCAATCAGTCATTTAAAAACCAAGTAACACACACCTGGGGGGGAGGGGCTGTTAACCGCACCTCCCTCCTACTCACGTGGACAGCAGTGGGAAAGAGGGAGGGGGCAGGTGGCTAAAATGAGACAGTAGCAGCAGTAATGGGGGCTACGATATCGCAGAGCCAGCTCCCTCCTCTTCCAGGCCCTGGCAGGAGCTCCTATGGCTTGCAGTGGAGAGTGGGTTGAACCCACCCCAGGTCCTTCCCCCTTCCCCCTCAGATAGCCTCCTTGGGGGCTCAACCCATTTCTTCTGTCAGGAGACTGAGGCACACGGAGAGGAGGAAGTGGGAAGAGGAGGACGCAGGAGAGGCAGGGAGATGGCACAAATGAAGGCAGAGGTGAGGTGTGAGGGAGGCCCTGGCTTAGAGGCCCCTGGACAATCCACCCCACACCCACCTCAGGGAGGGACAAGGAAGCCACACCATCACACAGCATTTGGAGAGATGAGGTGGAGATTAAGGCTGAGGGGCCCCGAGGTGGGCCGGGGCGTGGGCCTCAGTTGAAGCCATGCCAGTCGCTGTGCTCCGAGTCGTATTCTAGCTCGGCACCCACACACTTGACACCATCCAGCAGCATGGGTGTGCCATGGTGCCAGTCCATGACCCGTGACTGCACCACCACATGCACACAGGTGTCGGCACCACCTTCACAGGCTAGCAGCATTTCCTCCTTGAGGAATTCTTCCTTGTTCGCTGTGTACTCACACTTGATGCTGTAACCTTCTGGAACAGGCATGACACTGAGGAGCTTGAGGTGCAGGCTGGGAACAGGTACCTCTTGGACGTCCTTGCTTAGCCTGTGCACTGAGGGCAGAGTGAAGGTAATCTCATACCTGTGCAGGATCTTCAGAAAGCCAACCTTGACCAGAAAGCTGCTGTCACTCTCCTGGGTAACCATGACCACCGAGTCATGCAGCTTCTCATCAAAGTGGACATGGCTCTGGGAACCTTCTGCATCATGGCCTGCTGCAAAGCGGATACTCTGGACTCTGGGCTTATTGCCCTTGTTGGCTGCAGCCATGGACACCCTCCCTGCCTTGGGGTGAGACACACAGCTGGACCCCGTGTCTCAAACTCAGCAGTCTCCCATGCTCCAAGGACACCAGCAGGAGCCGTGCACTGCGCACCCCAGGGCCGAGCCGAGACGACCGCGGCAGCGGCCTCTTTGCCCATTTTTAAATGTTTGTTTTTTTATCATTGAGCTGTAGTTTTATATATATTCTGATCATATATCTATTATCACATATATGATTTCCAAATATTTTTTTCCATTTTGTGAGTGGCTTTTTTCACTCTGTTGAGATGTCCTTTGATGCACAAAAGTTTTAATTTTGATTTAGTCCAATTTATGTATTTTTTCTTTTGTTGCCTGTGCTTTTGGTATCCTATCTAAGTAACCATTGCCAAATCCAATGTCATGAAGTTTTCCCTGTGTTTTCTTCTAAGGGTTTTATAGTTTTAGCTCTTACATTTAAATCTTTCATTCATTTTGAGTTAATTTTTTAATATGGCGTAAGGTAAGAGGGTCCAATGTTATAGCCACAACTTTTTGAAATAGGAAAAAAAAAAAGATTGAGAGACCAATAGTAGGATTTGGGGTGGGGCAATAAGTGATTTATCTTTCTAGATAATTCAGTCTCTCACCCACTCTTGCTGTGCCCTCCATTTAGGCTCCACACAGTAGTCAGAGTGATCTTTTAGGAAACACATACAAATCAAACCACATCACTCCCCTGCTTAAAATCTCCAGTGCTTCCTATTACACTCAGAATAAAATCAAAACTTCTTGCTGTTGCCCAAAGGCTCTGCATGATTTTGACCCTTGCTGACTTTTCCTGCTTCATGTCCTGTTGCTTCCTCTTCAGCTTACTGCCCTTTAGTCACACTTGATTTCTGACCATTCCTGCAGCGCATCAATTTCTTTCCTGCCACTGGGTCTTTGCACATGCTGTTCTTTCTGTCTGGAACAAACTACTCCTTATGTTCACATGGCTGGCTCCTTCTCATGCTTCCCAACCTGGCAGAAATATTATCTTGTCTTAGTTTGAAGCTCCATAATAAAATGCCATAGACTGGGTGGCTTGAATAACAGGCATTTATTTTCTCACAGTTACGGAGGCCAAAGTCCAAGATCAAGGTGCCAGCATGGTTGGTTTCTGGTGCGAGCTCTCTTTCTGGCTTGTAAATGGCCGCCTTCTTGCTGTGTCCTTACATGACAAGGGGAGAGTGAGAGAGAGTTATTAGTGAGAAAGAGACACACTCTTTCTCAGGTGTCACGAGGGCCCCACCCCCATGACCTCATCTAAACCTAATTATCTCCCAAAGTCCTCATCTCCAAATACCATCACATTGGGGGTTAGGGCTTTAACATGAATTTTTTTGGGAGGGGGGAACAACATTCAGTTTGTAGCACACCTCCTCAGAGAAGCCATCATTAGACCTTCCAATCTAAGCCAGGTTTTTTTCCACAAAGCCCCCTCATACTCCCACTGGGTAATGTCTATCACTATACCCATTCTTATCCTTCATGGTAGAGTGAGTAACTATACATTAATTAGTGCAGCAATTTGTTCATTGTCTGCTCCCTCCCTAAGACCATAAGTTTCAAGAAGTCAAGACTGTCATCTTCTCTCCTATAGCCCTTACTCACTGCCTGGCACATATCAGATGCTCAATTAACACCTATTGGATGAGTGAACAAACCTTGGCTTATAACAAGTTTGCATTTTTTTACTTTTTCACTAAGTGTGGGAGGTGGGAGAGGAAGGAAGGTGACAAGCACTGAGGGGCAGTATAGCAAAGTCATTACAGGGTGTTGGCACTAGATTGAGGAGTTAAATACCAGCTCTGCCGCTTACAGTCATGTGTGACTTTGGGCAAGTCATTGCACCTCTTGTGCCTCAGTGTTTGCTCCTTAAGAAATGTCAGCACATATTTGGATGATGAAAAGCAATTGGAAGAGGAATAATAAGCTGAACAGGGGTGAGGTGTGGGACTAAAAACAGGGGTAGGGGATTGATTATCTATAGAGGGAGCAGTGAGACCCTTAACCTACCTCCCCGCTGCCCCTCCCTTGTACCCAACACAATCAGGTGACTGCCCCTCCATTCTGCAGGATGTTAAGATTTTTTTTCCCCTAGAGAAATTACCTTGCAGAAACTCTGAACTTAGGACCAGCAGAAGGACCAGCAGACACAGAAAGGGTCAGAGCAAGATACCAATTGGAAAATGGAAGGGATCCCCAGACACCTTCTCCATCTCTGCTAGCAGAAGTGTGCCTCCCAGGTTCTGTTCTGAAGGTCCCAGAGAAGAGAACTACAAACACAGATATTTAGATGTCCCTCAGTATAAAATCAGATCTTCACTCAGTTCCTTTACAGTGAAGCCCACCAGCTCATAGAGCCCCCATACTGATACACACACACACACGCGCGCGCGCACACACACACACACACACCTGCCAATTATTATTCAGTGCTTCACTGAAAACGCAACCTTTAGTCACACATCACCAGATATTTGAAGGAAGTCTCCAGGATAGATGAGAAAGGCCAAAACAGACAAATAAACAAACAGAAATGTTTAAAGCAAAAGACAATGCAGAGAGCCGAAGAAAATACAAAACAAAACCTATTAGAATCCTTAGAGAGATAAAAGAAGATATTGTGTTCATGAAATAAGATGCTATATAAAAAGGAATAAGAAGAAAGGACACTGGGAAAATAAAACATGAGATCCATAAGTATTAAAAAGTCAATATAAAGGATGAGAGATAATGAAAAGGGAATTTCCCAGAGGACGTACCAACAAGACAAAGAGATGGAGATAAGATAAGAAAATTAGAGGATCAATCCAGGAAACCCAATGTCTGAATAATGGATTGTCCAAGGGAGTCCAGAAAAAGCAGAGGCGGGAAATGATAAAGAAATGATGTGAGGACCTTTCACCCTGAAGGACATGAATCTTCAGACTGAGAGGGCCCAATAAAAATGAAAAAGAACCACCCTAAGGCACATCACCACGAATGTCAGAATACTAGGGATAAAGAGAATATCCTAAAAGTTTTGGGGGTGGGGAGGACAGATCACATACAAATCATCAGGAATAGAATGGTTCAGATACCTCCGTGACAACGCTGTAAGCTAGAAGACGGGGGCGAGCCAGGCCTTCAAAATTCTGATGGAAAATGATTTCCAACCTATTATTCTACACACAGTCAAAGAAATCAGAAGTAGGGACAGAAGAAAGACATTTTCAGACATGCAAGAGTAACAATTTTTCTTCTTATGTGACTTCTTAGGAAGTAACTAGAGGATGTGTTCCACCAAAGTGAGGGCATAAACCAAGATACGAAAGACTGGCAAGCCAGAAAGCAGGTGCTCTAACCCAGGAAGACAGGTGTGCAGCTGGTCTAGACAGCAACCACTCCCAGATGGAAAGGGGAGGAGAGAGGCTCCAGGAAGTGGATTACTAGGAAAACAAAAGGAGCCGATAGTTGACGCGACTGCATGGAAAAGGCATTTTACGCGTCTGTTGGAGTGTTTGAGGAAATTGAGCAATAGGTACACAGAACTAAGCAAATGGAAAAAAAAAAAAGGCAGTTAGTAATTCCAGGAAAAAAAAAATCTGTAGTAGAAAATAAATGTAATGATGACAGACCACTTGGCTCAGCAGTGGGACAATATCTACAAAGTCATAAGAATGTAAACCCTAAAAAAAAAAGTCTAAACCCTGAATATCAACTTTGCTAAAAATTTTAAAATTGTGGTAAAACTATATTGGGAGGATGGAGAAAGAAGTGGAGTTGAGTTAACCCTCATCTACCATAACAGGAAGTTGTGGGGGGCTTTATTAATGTTCACTGACGTCTGGTTCCCCATGCTTCTGGGAACATCAAAGACTGTACTTTTCAGCCCCTTGCAGTCGGGTGGGGCCACATGACTAGTTCCAGTCAGTCAGCTTCAGGTGGAAGTGCGATGTTGCAGCTAGACTGACCCTTAGATGACCCTGCAGCTGTCACATCTCCCTCTTGATCAAGGAGGCCTCTGGGTAAGATGGTAGAGCCACAGGACTGAGCAGGCTGGAACTGCCTCATGGAAGACAGTTGTCGTGGAGGCACTTTGGAGTGACTGAAAGGGTGAGGAAAAAAATTTTGACTGTGTTAAGCCACCGAGATTTGGGGATAGTTTGTTCCTGCTGCCTAGCCTGGCTTAACGGAATACAAACATCCACAGATACTGTCTAACATTGAGAAATGAAGACATAGCCATTTAAGCATATTATTTAGAATTATGGAGATAATCACTAGAAGACTAACTGAAAACATGAGAAGTCATGGCCTCTGGGGAGCAGGACAGACGAGCGAGGAAGGGTAGGGCAGAGGGACACCTGTTTTCATTCTAGTCCTGCGTGACTTTTTACACTATGTAATTGTACTACATTGGCAGAAATAAAATTTTATTAAAAGCTGTATACATATAAGTGATTTGGAAGGATTCCCACCAAGCCATTACAGTGGCTGTCTCTTAGGAGGGAGGGCCTGCTAGACCGAATGCCTGTGGAACCGCAGATGAGGCTGGACGGGAAGGCCTGTGGGGAAGGGGGTGACCCAGATGGAATGCCAGCCTGAGGAGCTTGGATTTTATCCAAATGGCAATGGGGAACCACAGAAGGGTTGTAAGCAGTAGAATGTCCTGAGCAAATCTGTATTTTAGAGCAAACGCACCCTGACTTATGTAGATGATGACTTGTGGGGCAGACGCTGCTGTGGTGGTCCCTGAGAGGGGATGAGGCTTGGATTAAGGTATGCGTACAACCAACGTCCATATGATAAAGGGACAGCTATTAGTCCACATGCCTATTTGCCAGGCACTATTGGTAGGGCCCATGATACAGCAGGGAACAAAATGGACAAAATCTCCCTCGCGTACGTGGGTTAGAGAGGCCAATGGAGAGAAAGGAAGATAAATATAAGTCAGGCTGTGGTTCATGCTATAAAGAAAAATGAAGCAGTGCTAGGAGATGGAGTGGTGATGGGGAGAGGGGTCAAGGGCAGCCTCTCTACGGAGGTGACATTTGAATAGAGTCCTGAGTTAATTGAAGGAGCAAGCCACGCAAAATTCTGGGGGTTGAGGGTTCCAGATAGAGAGAGCAGCAGTCCAGAGGCCCTGAGGTGGAAATGGGCTTGATGTGTCCCAAGGAACGCAAAGAGGCCGGGGGGCAGGGCATATCCATCAGAGGGAAGGTTCTGGGAGCGGAGGCCCAGGAGGTGGTCAGAGCCAGTTTGTGGAACGTGGAGAGAACTCTGGGGAGCCCCTGGGGCCTTGAGAGCAGGAAAGTGGCATGATTTGTCTGAGGTCAGTAGGCCAGGGCTGCTTGGTGCTGGTTGGCTGTCGGGTGGGAGAGGCCTGTGAGGAGAGGCACTCCTGGGGCTCTGGCTGGCAGTCAGCCCTGGGCCTCTCAGCCCTGCCTGGCCCAGCTACAGCAGCTTCCTCACCCACTTCCCAGCATCCCAGCCCCCTCTGGGAATTGAAGGATCCTTCACAAATCAAAATAGTAGGCAAAGAACAGCCTCTAATTGTTCTGTGTAAAAGAAGCAAGATTAGACGAGTCAGCTGTGGGGTTGAGACCGCCTCCCACACAGCTGTGATCCCATACCTCACTGGAGACAGACTTCCCAATCCTTGCAATTCTGCTGTCTCCGAGCAAAACTTTTTGCTTCTCCAACCCCAGGGCAAATGACCGCTATTCTGGGAGGGAGTGGGACAGATGCTGGCCCTGTAGGACAATGAGTGAGTCAAAAGTTTTAAAAAACTGAACAAATCAGTCATTTCATGAAGGAACAGCTTTAGCTGATACGAGCTTGTTCAGTCATTCAAAACACATTGAGGGCACTCATCCTGGGCTCCTGGGGCTCAGCACGGTATCAGGGGTACCAGATGGGTAGAGGCACACAGTGTGATTCCACCCTTGGGGGAGAGAGAGCACTGATCTGGGAGTCAGGAGCTGTAAGTTCTTGCCTTGGGTCTGCCACCGTCTCTGTGTGTGACCTTGGGTTGGTTTCCCTATCTCGCCCCAGTATGGGCTTTAGGCTCCATAGTGGTTCTCAGACTTTCGAGTCCATAAGAATCACTTGGTGGTGTGTGTGGGGTTCTTGTTAAAGATAAAGATTTTCAGAGATTAAGATCTGGAAGGTCTGGAGTGGGTGTGCAAGAATCCCATTTCTCACAGGCTCTTCCGGTAATTCTGAGGCAAGTCCTTGAACCAGACTTGCATAAAGTCACTTCCCCTTAACCGCTCGGGGCTCTTCTGCTCTGAAATTTAAGGAGTCACTCATGTAACCCTTCGCTGGGTTTCTCAGATCATTCCGGGGTCAGGAATGCAGTTCTGATTCTGGCCTCAGCGTACCTGTGTGTCTCTGAGATGATCACACTTCACTGGGACAGTCTGTGTCAGTGTATGCAGCCTCCTCCAGGCTACCCAGTGCCCAGCCCAGGCTCTGGTACAGAAGGGGCCATAGCCTTAAATGTTGGCCAAACAAAGGGCCAGATGTAGTGCAGGCAGCTGTGCGGCAGCACAGAGCATGGAGGGATGTTGGAGAGTTTTGGGTGCAGACTTGGTTGCAGACATCTGGCTTGGACACCTAGGCTCATGCTCTAGATCAGATGTGTGACCCTGTCCCCTGCTCCCCTTTACCACAGCTGGGTGAGTCCAGCTGCATGGGGATAAGATGGTCTGGATGGGACTGCAGGAAAGATTGGGAGCCCTGGTCTATTGTGGAGGACAATCTAAGGCCCAGGCAGTCTGCTAGGCAGAGTCCTTTCCTCAGAGCTGGCCAATCATTTCCAAAAGCCAGGTCAGGGGTAGAGGGTCAGGTCACTTTGATTGAGCCCCCATTTCATTCTTTATATATGAAGAATAATAACAGCTCTCATATACTGAGCACTTAACATGCTTTGGGCTCAGGGCTAAAAGTGCTTTATCACCTCTTCAAATGTCATAACAACCCAATGAGGTTGGTAAAAGTATCACCCCTCTTTTTATAGCTGTGGATACCGAGGTTTAGAGAGTTCAAGTTACTAGCCCAGTGTCAGTCAGCTGATAAATAGTAGAAGCAGGAGTAGAACTTTGACCTCTTTTCCTCTGGAACCCAGTTTTATTTTTAACCATATTGCTTTGTACCCCTCAAAAGATAAGGGTTTTTCTTAAAACACCTTCTGCCAAAGTTACCCCCAATCAGAGAAATCCTTTTGCATCTGTTATAGTGGAAAGGAGTGCTGCTGAATCAGATAGTTGGGGGTTCCAGTCCCACCTCTGCTCCTGATCTTCTGCTCCTTGTGTGACTTCGGGCCAGTCATTTCAACTCTCTGAGTTTCATGTGCAACTGAAATCTGAAATGGAACAGTTATACATGTACTTCCTTTTAAGGTACACTAAGATGAAGACAGCCACCAACATCTACATCTTCAACCTGGCCTTGGCAGATGCCCTGGCCACCAGCACGCTGCCCTTCCAGAGCGCCAAGTACCTGATGGAGACGTGGCCCTTTGGGGAACTGCTCTGCAAGGCTGTGCTTTCCATTGACTACTACAATATGTTCACCAGCATCTTCACACTCACCATGATGAGTGTGGACCGCTATATTGCCGTCTGCCACCCGGTCAAGGCCCTGGACTTCCGCACGCCTGCCAAGGCCAAGCTGATCAACATTTGCATCTGGGTCCTGGCCTCGGGTGTTGGCGTGCCCATCATGATCATGGCTGTGACTCGTACCAGGGGTGAGTGAGTGAGGGAGCTGTGGCACAGGCCACTGACCACAGGAGGCAGCACATGGGCCTCTGTGGATTTGCAGGCCGCTTACCAGGGTGGGTATATGTAGCTCAGCAGTGGAGGTGTGGCTTGCTGATCAATGAAAGTGTGAATGGCTGGCCAGTGGGAATATGGATAGTCAACCGGTGGGAATGTGAATGGCTGGTCAATGAATGTGAATGGTTGACTGTTGTGAGGATAAATGACTGGTCAGTGGTCATATGGGTTGCTGGCCAAAGGAAATTTCTAAATGGGATTAGAGATGGTTGATCTCTGTGCGTGAAGCCGCTGGCCAGAAGTGTGTGGATGACTGAACTATAAAGAGATGGATGGACGGCCAAGGGGGTGATGGTGTCACTGACCAGTGAGCAGTGGAGGCCACAAGATATGCAGTCCCATCCCAAACTCCCTTCTACCCCCAATTTGAAAACCATTGGCCCAGATGACCAAAGCAGGGCCTAGGGATTAGCCTTCAGAGAATGACAGATAGGTGCATTTCCTCAGAGTAAAATGGTAATTAGTGTAGTAACCACCCATTTCAGTCAGGGTAGCTGCTATAACAATCTTCAAAGCTCAGTGGTTTAACATAGTATTATTTCTTACTCACATCACAGTCCAATGTGAAAAAGAGGAAAAAGGGCTCTATTTCACAGTCATTCAGGGATCCAGGCTCCAAATGATGGTTTTGGAATCTTCCACAGCTGGCATCTGGCCAGCAAATGCATATGGAGAGGAAGTAGTGAGACAGTACAAACTCTTTTAAATGTTATGGCCCATCTCTTCCAAGTGATAGCTGGTTACATGACCCTAACTTGATGTAAGGAAGTGGGAAAATTAGTTTAGCAGGATGCCAAACAACACTGGCCACTAACCTATCTAAGCCACACTATATCATGGGGTGTTGAGAAGGTTAAATGAGGTTCTATGTGTAAAACACTTAGGGCAAAGCCTGGCTCATTGCCAAGGCCCAGTAAATAATAGCAGCTATGAGAATGATTAAGCCTGTGAGATAGACAAGACAGGGACTTCTATCTCCATTTGACTATAAGAAAACTGAGAATCAGAGAAGTCAAATGATTTACTTAGGGCCACACAGCCAGACATTTGGTGGAATTTGGCTAGAACCCAAGGCTCCTGCCCCCAAATCTGTTGCTCTTTTTGGCCCCGGGGATGAAGGTTTACAGATCATCAGTGCTGTGGTAGCAGAGGGGAAGGGGAACAGGCTTGGTGGGAGGCTTCTTGGCCACCCTTAACTCTCACAAGGGTGGAGTCCCCAGTGCCCTTAGAATCTCTGAGCTATTTGTCTTGACTCTCAGCAGCTGGGCCCCATTCCTCACTGTCAGCCTTCAGTTTACAGTCCATTAAGTACAGCTCTGCTGGGGGCCAGGCCAGATGGGCCTCCTTATTCCTCTCTCTCTC